ACCATCCTCGAATGGAAGTAAATTAGACCTCACACTTTGCTCTAACTCATTATCGTTGGATTGCACGTGGAATGTGATCCAAAATCCCCACGGTAGTGATCACTTGCCGATCAAAATTTCGATTGCCAGTGGGTTCAATCCGTCGGAATCCGTTAACGTCGCGTACGACCTCACTCGTAATATCGATTGGACAACGTTCAAGACCGCGATAGAGGAAGCCGTGTCGTCGGTAGAAGGGCTTCCACCGTTGGAGGAATATAACTTCCTCTCCAATCTGATCTTGGACAGCGCGCTTCGAGCTCAAACTCGGTCGGTTCCTGGAACGTCTTTGCGTAGGAAACCTCCTTCCCCTTGGTGGGACCACCAATGCACAGAGGTTTATCGTAAAAAGTCCGACGCGTTTAAGCTTTTCCGGAAACGTGGAACACCCGTGTATTTCGAAGCGTACTCGACTCTTGAACGCGAACTCAAAAGCCTCATCAAAGCCAAGAAACGCGGATACTGGCGGCAATTCGTGGACGGATTATCGCGCGAAACGTCGATGAATACGCTGTGCGGCGCGAAGGATGCGTAACCGGTCTTCAAACAACGAGAGCGAGGAGTACTCAGATCGTTGGATTCTTAAGTTCGCACGAAAAGTATGTCCTGATTCCGTGCCGGCACGGATGATTCCTCGCGAAACGACGAATTCGGTAGACGAGATCAGCCAGCCTTTTTCAATGCTGGAGCTCTCACTCGCGCTCCTTTCGTGTGGCAATTCGGCTCCGGGGGCTGATAGAATCAAGTTCAACTTGTTGAAGAACCTCCCAGACGTCGCTAAGAGGCGCATGTTGAACTTGTTTTGTCAGTTCCTAGAGCTCAATATTGTTCCGGATGATTGGAGGCAAGTGAGAGTTATAGCCATTAAAAAGCCTGGAAAACCGGCTTCAGATCATAACTCGTATCGTCCCATCGCGATGTTATCGTGCATTCGAAAATTGTTGGAGAAAATGATCCTTTTTCGCTTGGACAAATGGGTTGAGACGAACCACCTACTCTCAGATACTCAATTTGGTTTCCGTAGGGGCAAGGGAACGAACGACTGTCTCGCGTTGCTTTCCACCGAAATTCAGTTGGCTTTTGCTAAAAAAGAGCAAATGGCTTCTGTGTTCTTGGATATTAAGGGGGCTTTTGATTCAGTATCGGTTGAGGTAATTTCAGACAAACTCCACGCATGTGGCCTTTCTCCATTAATTAATAACTTTTTGTACAATTTGCTGTCAGAGAAACATATGAGCTTTTCTCATGGAAACTCTACAGCTTCTCGATTTAGTTACATGGGCCTCCCCCAGGGCTCATGTTTAAGCCCCCTTTTGTATAATTTCTACGTCAGAGAAATTGACAATTGTCTAAGTGACAACTGCACGCTGAGACAACTTGCAGATGACGGAGTTGTGTCTATGACAGGGCCCAGAGAGGCCGACCTGCAAGGACCCTTACAGGATACCTTAGACAATTTGTCTACTTGGGCTATTCAGCTAGGTATCGAATTCTCCACGGAGAAAACTGAGTTGGTCGTTTTTTCTAGGAAGCATAGCCCAGCACAACCGAAGCTTCAACTTTTGGGTAAACCGATCACTCATTCCATGTGTTTTAAATATCTCGGGGTCTGGTTCGATTCCAAATGCACCTGGAGATCCCATTGAGTATCTGAGACGAAAATGCCAACTAAGGATCAATTTCCTTCGATCAATTACCGGAACGTGGTGGGGAGCCCATCCACAAGATCTTCTGACGTTGTACCGGACAACGATTTTATCGGTTTTAGAGTACGGTAGTTTTTGCTTCCAGTCGGCGGCTAAAACGCACATCATCAAACTGGAACGGATCCAGTATCGCTGTCTTCGTATCGCGTTAGGATGCATGCACTCGACTCATACGATGAGTCTCGAAGTGTTAGCGGGCATGTTGCCACTATCTGATCGGTTTTCGGAATTATCCCTCAGGCTCCTCACCCGTTGTGAAATTATGAACCCACTGGTGATTGCAAACTTTGAGAAGCTTCTTGAGCTAAACCCCCAAACTCGTTTTATGACATTGTACTACGTGTACATAACACAGGATGTCAGCCCTTCACAGCATAATCCTCATCGTGTATGCTTCTCTGACTTCGGCAATTCAGTTAGTTTTGATTTATCTATGACGCGGGAGATTCGTGGGATCCCAGAACATCATCGTTCCATGATTGTTCCGTCAATTTACGCTGCAAAGTTTGGCCAAATTGATTCCGCAAGATCGTTCTTCACAGATGGATCACTAATAGAGTCGTCCGCTGGTTTTGGTATTTTTAACGAATTTCATAGCGCCTCTCGAATGCTTCAAGCTCCTTGTTCCGTATATGTTGCTGAACTGGCGGCAATACACTATACGCTAGAAACGATCGCCTCACTTGCACCAGATCACTATTTTATTTTTACGGATAGTCTCAGTTCTGTCGACGCTATTCGATCCATGAGGCCGGTAAAGCACTCCTCGTATTTTCTCATGAAAATACGAGAGCTTTTAAGTGCTTTATCTTTAAGATCTTTTGTCATCACCTTTGCATGGGTCCCATCTCATTGCTCGATTCCGGGCAATGAGATGGCGGACTCACTTGCTAAGGTGGGCGCTATGGAAGGCGATATTTACGATCGACAAATCGCCTACAATGAATTTTTCTTCATTTATCGTCAACAGTCACTCGTCAGCTGGCAGAATAAGTGGAGTGAAGGGAGTTTGGGACGATGGCTATATTCGATCATCCCTAAGGTGTCGAAGAGTCCTTGGTTCAAGGGGTTGGATGTGGGTCGAGACTTCATTCGTATGATGTCTCGCCTCATGTCCAATCACTATTCGTTAAACGCTCACTTGTTCCGTGTTGGGCTGGGAGACAGCAATCTCTGTGAATGTGGACAAGGTTACCAAGACGCCGATCACATCCTTTGGTCTTGTGCTGAGCATCGTGGAGTCAGATCTGAGCTGTGCGATTCCCTTCGGGCTCGAGGTAGACAACCTTATGTTCCAGTTCGGGATATTTTGACTAGACGTGATCTGGAGTTTATGAAACTCATATATGTTTACTTTAAGAATACTAACCTTAGATTGTAAGTTTTATTAACCTTGTGTTTAGTTTGTGTATTGTGCGTCTAGTTTTTTTTTTAATGTTTGTTTTCAAGATGAATAGAAATTAGTTCATGTCTTAGGATTAATTAAATATTTGTATCAAAAACCACATTTCAAACCTCCCTCTCCCTTTTCCCATCCAAAAAAATTGTAAATCTCCACTAACCTCGAGACAACCGCGAGTATCCGGTCCAGCTCCTTTAACTTATATATAATATAAGACATCAATAATGTATAACGAAAATGATAATTCGGCTCTGTAAAGTTTATTCGATTGAGCCTGTACAAATAAAGTAATTAATAAAAAAAAAAAAGAATTATCATTTTCATAATATTTTTTAATAGGGTAGAGCGCTACTTCGTCGTTATCGCCCATTTCCGTTCTATCGATCAGAAAAGATCAATAATATCTATGATTTCACCGTACACAAATCAATAATAGATTTGTTCCGATGCGTTAGTTCATTAGCTACAACATAAATCCTGTTAGAGCGCATTGTATGAATATTTACGCTCATTGTTCTCAAAACAAAAGAAGCGCTCCTCGCGAATCCCCTTTTTCTACGTTTATCCTTAGGATGATGAAAATATAATGGCGTTTCAATGCGTTAGGACGGAATTGAAACTCGTAGAACGAATTTAGAATCAAGAAGCAATATTAGATTTTAAACAATATCACAACAATTTGTGACTCTTTATCAAATCTAACGGTACGTATGGAAAGGTGAATAAATTTAGAAGTCATCTTTGACAGATATATTCCATTTTTAGTTAAAACTCGTTCAGAAAAGAGAGGTAAAGTGCGCGTTGTGCTTAGTAGGACGGAAACTAGATCAAAAACCCTATTCTTCCTGGACGAAATAAATTACATGTAAAGCATTCTTAGGGCATTCATTCGTTTATATCGAAATGGGTAAGGGTTATTCAGTTGACAAATGTCATCATCTGAGTAACCGTTACCCAGTTTCCTCCATAGGCACGTTTACTAAAACTTGAGTAAAAGCATGTTTACCCATGTTTAGGTAACTTCCCTTTTGGCTGAACGGAGTGATTTTGGATTAAAAAATGAGTAGCTTCAAAATAGCGTGTACCCCAATGAACGTCTCTCAACTTATAGCGTGCTCTCTCTTGTCTCTTTGTTCCGAAACAATCGAGAGCAGGAGACTTTATAACGCACAGCACAACCTTTTTTGAGCTGTGCGCGTGCATCCAGACGATCCCTGGAATTGATTAGAATCCAATTATTATTCCAGCAGAGTTATTCTTTGTAGATTGAACAAATTAGAAATCAAGTGCCGCAGTTCAGAATCCCTGTAGATGCATTGTTCTTCGCTTGAATGATGCAAAATCGAATGAGCGCATTGTTCGTCTATAGAAAGTGGTTTACGAGCTTTTCGCTAAGCTTTTACATTCATTGTCCCCATCATCAGTGGATAATGCAGTGCCCAGTCCATGTCTCCAAACTTTCTATCCGCACGGAATTCTATCAAATTAATTGAAAATTCCAGCAGAATAAGCAATTTCCCTCTATCATCGGTCGGTTGGCCTCAATAGGAATAGAAATGGGCAGTGTGGGTTCATCCCAGTATTCAACGATTCATTGTGCTGCATTGGTTGCCAGTCAGCGAAAGGCCTTGCACCACGAACAGCAGAGTGCACTTTTGTTGGGGTTTCTTCCGGTCGAAGTGATAACCGGATTTCCACATCCCCGCTTTTGTCAGAGCCGGTAAAGTGGACATCCGAATCCAAATCTGTTTGCTCTCGCGTCCTTGCCCACCAAAACCGGTAATTGAATTAAGTGAAAACATAGATTTCCCCTTGCCGGGTACGTTTATTCGGTGACAGTTGTTGCTACTCACCTGCGGATACACTGCTCTGCACGCCATGATCGTCCTGACACCTCCACTTTCACCGCCACCACCTCCCCTACTACTGCTGCTGCGAACGCCAAAACTGCTACTACTACTCATGGCACTCGTACTACTACCGCTACTGAAACTACTACTACTAGAACCACCACCACCACCGCTGCCACTTCCGTTTCCTCCGCTTACGATACTACTGCTACTACTGCTCGGTGCCGTTATCAGGCTCCACATGTCGCTGATATCACTAAAGTTACGGTTGGACGTCATTTCGTCCAGATCTTCACTGCGATAGACGACTGCCGACGCAAGCGGCCTCCGCGATATGCTGATCTGTTCCGCAATGTCCGCGGCGCAGCACGAGTCCGGATAGGTTCGATTCACGAGTACCGGGAAGTCCTGAGAGGGAATGGAAGAGAGAGAGAGAGAGAGAGAGAGAGAGAGATATTAAAAGAGGGAATTAGTTATGTAAAAGGATACTAATTAAATCGGCTGAAGGCCTTGCGTGATACGATCTTATCGGAGGGGCAGTACGTAATCCCTGTGCGGGTGAAATGGTTCAGTTGGGATTTTTTTGCTCCGCTTTTCGTTGGCATCATCACCATCGTCATCTTCTAGTCGGTTGGCGTAGTTCGAAACAGGGTTGAAGCTTGATATGTTGGAGGTTGTAGAATTTTCAAGATTAGGACTTGGATTCATAGAAGGACCATTACACGGTTGTATCGAAATACCGATCAGATTGCATGGAATTGTATTCAGAGGCTTGATCCCTTGGCTGTATTCCGGTGAAGCATACGTACGTGCTTAGCGTAATCCATAGCAATCTGAGTTCACTGGCGTGCTGAGGATAGGGCTCGTTTGTTTTATTCATTTGGAAAAAAAATGGTGCACTATCGTCCGAAAAGGCAATTTAGCAGGACATAATTATTTACTTTGAATAAAATTATTTAAAAAAAAAATTCAAACAACTTTGCTGAAGAAACAAGTTTTCTAACTCTTCATCTGACTTTACTATACTAGAGCTATTTAATTGCTTTAAGTTAATAAAAAAAATATATCAATTTAATTTATTCTAACGTTTTTGTTTTATATTTTTTGAAAGTTCTTAACAATGAAGTCCATAATTTATTTTCTTTTAAAAACATATGGTTATTCTGATACTAAAAAATTATTTCCCCTAATCTGATCCCTTCTTCCTCAGCCACCTACCAACGCCACTTCCCGTAATGAGCACATTTTTCCGCTCTAGCTGCGAAACCCATCGGATCCGCTTTTATTATAATACCGCCCATCACCCTGATAGCATCGTTGAAATGCTCGCCTTGGGACGGACAGCCGGCAAAGGTATGGATTGCTTTGGCGCAAGCAGAATAAAAATGTCTAAGAAATTATAATCGCCTCCGATGTGACAACCTTGAACATGTCGGCATCTTCCTGAGTTCACACAAAAAGAAACCTTCAACAACAAGGGCGACTCCGCCACTTTGCGCTACTTGCCGGTTTTTCTTGCACTAATTAAGTTATCTAATTATTTTATAACGATAATGTGTGCGCGAAAAGCGAAAGCCCGGGAAGCTGGTGTCCTTGGGCGGCACCCGCTTCCTTTGGATCATGCATGTTCTGGTCGCGTTTTGTTGCCTTCACACACATAGAGAATGTGAAAACAATGACGGGGCAATGGGATAGTAATTACAGTCGATTAGATTTCATTCAGTAAGGATGATGATTCCAAGGGGTGGCTCTCCTGGAAGTCTAGAGTCGGTGGGAATAGCACCAAATGGGACCTTCATGTGACAGTAGGTATATGTAACTAGGTACCGATGTGCAGTAATGGAAGTGCAATCAACTTTCTTTCGTCCCCGCCTTTCATGGACGGCGTGGGCGTATCAAAGATTTATGCTTACTGTAATCAATTTCGCATTAAAAATAGTTCACTTTATTGGTTTTCTGTTGCTTCCTGGAATATGTGGATGATTAGACCTATCAAATAGTGGGTTCGAAAAGGTGGGGTGTTTGGCGAATCGATCGGCTGGGAAGTGAGACATTTGCGATTGCTTTAGAATTGTGTTTTTCTTGAGGGTTTGATCTTTTCTGTAGGTTCAATAAAGGAAATCGCCTGTGCGGCTACTGTTATGTACATTGGGATTTTACAAAATTCAAGTCAACAGCATTCTGTGAAAGGATGTAAAATTTTTTATTCAGTGATATCTTCTAATTTTGCCGAGAAGGATGACGAAGAATAGTAAAGTCAGTACGCCAGCGGTCAAGATTCTATTTCAATCACGATCGTCAAACAGCTGACGGTTCATTCATATCAATGTGCTTATCGAAGCTCTCTCCATGACCATCCATCAAGTTCATGAAAGAAGTAAAAAGCAACTGGTGAATGTCGTTTTTGGCGATGGTCCATCACAGATCTGGTCATTTCCGACAATCACGACACTCATCTGTGCTCGTTATGAAGCAGTTGCTGCTTCGATTGCTTATGTGAGTGTGTTGGTGCGTGAGCCCAACGGTTTCCTTTATTATAAATTATTTATTAAGGGGAAGCTCACCGCTCCGAAAAAAATAATTACGTTTTGATTTTTCTAAAAATATTGGAAAAAGATATCAAAATTCTAAGAAAATCACATATTTTTTAATTTTCAAAGAAAATTCACGTGGAAAACATTTTTTTAAAGTCATTATGGCATAAAGTTGGTCTCAAAAAACCACAAAACATCGACTTTTCGGTTTTGCTGAGAGCCCAATTTTTTTTTCATGATGAGATAGAAAAAAAATTTTACATGGAATTTTTGACAAAAATCTAAGGAACAAACTGATTTGCTTTGATTTTTGATATTTTTCCCAATATTTTTAAAGAAATAAAAATGTACCGAAAATATTTTTTTATTTTCGGGCCGGTAAGCTTCCCCTTAAGGGGAAATTTACCGGCCCGAAAAAAAAAATTCGGTACGTTTTTTTTTTAATATTGGGAAAAATTGTCAAAAATCCAAACAAATCAGTTTCTTCCTTAGATTTTTGTCAAAAATTTTAAGCAAAAACATTTTTTTCCACCACATAATGAAAAAAAAATGGACGCTAAAAGTCGATGTTTTGTGGTTTTTTGAGTCCAACTTTACGTCATAATGACTTATAAAAAATCAAAACGTAATTATTTTTTTCGGAGCGGTGAACTCCCTCTGAGGGAGATTTTTAGCCTAGCTAGTTCATCTCCGGAGAAAGGAAAGGCCTTAGAGTGATAAACCTCTAAATACATGGTATATTAACATTTTGTAAATAGCTTTGGTTGGTGGCTCTTCAACTTATATGGAAATATAACAATATATAAAATAGTGAAACAGAGGAACAACAGAAAACAAAATGATTTAAAACAAGCTCTACAAACAAATAATCCAAACAAAACAGAGCTCAGCTGGCATGGGTCCAATAGGGGAAATTCATTCCGACGGCCAAAATAAATTCCTGCTATACCAAGTGGTAGATTTTGGCTTCTTTTAAGAAGGTTACTAGTGCTGCCGTGGCCGGAGTATGATTCCCGAGCAGATCCCTGATGCTGGAAGTTAGACAGAGCGACTCCCGAAGATTTTGGAACTCCGGGCCGTTGCACAGGATGTGTTCGACGGTGTAGGGTACCCAACAGATGATGCAGCTTCTGCGGAACGGCAGGCCACCATAGTTATAGTAGAGTTTGGTGTGCCCGGTCCGCAGCCGCGAAATCACACGTTGGTCCCTCAGGTTGTCCAGTTCGCTCCATGGTTCAGTTGACGCTTTTTACTTTGCGGATAAAGGAGTTCTATTGCGGAACCACTCGGCTTCCCATGCCGCTCGAATGTTCTGCATGATCCACCGTCTGACGTCCAGTAGGGGTTCCTTGTCGGTGAGTCTGGGACCCGATGTCCCAGCTCCGGCAAGGTGATCAGCAGACTCGTTACCTGGCACTTCGCAGTGTCCGGGAATCCATGTATGCACGGTGTTCGGTGGGGCGTACTTGATAATCGCCTGGATCCATCGCTTGAACGACGCTGTGTGAGTCGGTTAGGATGAGTATCGGTTTGTTGGCTGGCATCGTAGCGGCATGGAAGATCGCCGAGAAAACCGAGCACTGTGGAGGAAGACTGCTGCTTTCAGCAATACCGTCTCTGAAAATCCCGATAGCTACTCAGTTTATCGATCGGTAGCCGTCGGTTTACCGGTGTACGTGGTCGGCATAGTTGGACTCAAGTAACTCGGCGACCGATCTGCGCAAAATCACGGATGCATCCCCTGCTTTGAAGCGGTTCTTGATCCGATTGTCCAATTGGATTCGTGAAGAGTGCCAACTTTTCTCTCCATGCCAATGGACTTTGGCCACTGGGGGGAGGTCGATGTCGGCGGCCGTGCGGAGGACTCTGTTCCCCTCGCCGAGGAGAAAGATCCTATTGTTTCTGGAGGTCTTGGCGGAAAAGGCGGCGGCTTTTTGTGGCAATATGTGGCAGAACTGGAAAGGAAGAAGACCCGCTTCGATGCATGCGGCGTCTGCTGGAGTGGATGGCAGGGGACCAGATATGATGCGGATGTAGCTGTTGTAGACCGGTGTACAAGTAATTTCCGTCCCGTAAAGCAACCTACTGTCGCGACCCGGAGCCGAACATCGCCGTTATTGGATCGGTGAGGCCGGCAGATCGTTTTAACTAGGTTGAGTCTACTGAGGCAGTCCATTTTGACCTGTTGGAAATGCTGGTCGAAGGAGAGCGTTTGTTTGATCAGTACGCCGAGGACGCGAACTGTTTTCCTGGATGGAATGGCTTGGTCGTGGATCGTAATTGGGGTGCTATTGACTCGGTGATGAGACGGACATACGTGGCATCGGATTCTCTTTCTGGCGGACAGCTGGGTTCGGATCTGTGTGGGACCGGTGGCCACAAGCAGCACATCGTCAGCCTAAACAAATATGTAAATGCGCCCAGGTAGCCGGTCAAATACCCCGTTCATTGCCACCAGAAACAACGTGACTGCAATAACGGAGCCTTGAGCGACTCCGGTCTCCTCGCTAAAAAATTTCGACCGCGTGTTACCCATCACCCAACGGCTTCCGTTTAATTTTGCCAGCTTTGTTTGTAACTCACACAGCCGCGCCCTCCGAGTCGAACGTGTTTACATTTTCTTCTTTCGTTTCGCTTTTCCTCATCATCGTACGAGTGTCGCGTGAGTGTCATGATATTTTGCATCACTGATTCGTGTTCACTGGAAGCCGTTCTGAATGTTAAATTGCGTAAACAATTATGCGTTTACTCAAGAAGACTGACCACTCTCAAGCTTTCTTTTACAAGCGCCAAGAGAGATAGTCACAATTCTGCCATCTAGCAAAGGTGAAACGAAACTTTGAACGAAATGAAGTAATGAAATTGGGTTGTTAG